AAAAAAAAAAAAAAAAAAAAAAAAAAAAAAAAAAAAAGGAGTTGACAGGGATCGAGCATGAATTATAAGCATACTGCTAAGAGGAGGTCAAGGACCCCTGAACCCTGCCAGAAAAACCAGGTGACAGTTGTCAATCTCCCTGGAGGGCAAGCCTTTTGTGAGCTGCCCTCAGCCCCTGCCTGGAGCATGGAGCATCCCCAAACCTGTTCTTGGGTGTTGCAGGCTGCCCCTTTTCTGCTAGATAGGAGGGGCTACGGGTTCCCAGCAAAGAGTGGGCAATCCCTTTACCCCAGTTGACAAATGCCCCCCCCCCGACTCTTTCTCCTCCTTTTATCCATCCCTGATAGTTCTGGCCTTCTTAACAGTGCTCCCCCACTTTGGTTTTTCAAATCAGGGTTTCTCCATGTAGCCCTGGCTGTCCTGCAACTCTGTAGACCAGACTCATAGAGTTCAAGCCAACCGAGTTCTGGGGTAAAAGGCATGCGCCAACAAAGCCAGGTTCTAAATAGCTTTTGATGTTCTGATTTGCTCTTAGGTTGACGCAGACTGAGGCCCTCCCCAGGCATCTAGTTTAGGGGGAGCCTGTATTATTTTTAATGACACCCCTATGCCCCATCTCTCCCTAACCCATGCTGCCCACTTTGAACAGCAGTGGTGACTCTGAACTTGTCTGTTTTGTTCTGTGTGGCAATGGAACATCATGGAAATGACCCTCCCTGCCTCACCTCTGCCCTCCCCAATGCCTTGATCCTGGCCACTCATGGAAGCAGGACCAATAAGGGACCTTCAATTAAAACAAAACAAAAGAAAAAGGACACAACAAAAAAGGCCAATTGACAGCCACAAAATGATGTCAAATCCACAGCAAATGTGTTCATGGCTCTGAACCTTGCCTTCACTGATTGGAATTACCTGGGGAGCTTTTATGAGTCCTGTAACCAAGTCACATGTCTGTCTGGAGGCAGGTCCAATTGTCAGGATTGCTTCATCGTCCCAAATGTGGCCCGCTGTGTATCGAAGGCTGAGAACCCTTAGGTTTTCTGCGCATGCTCTATGACCTCTGGTTTATGGGGTCTATTGTAGTGAGAGCAGCGGCTGCGTTCCTGCCGCCTGGCTCCTGGCCGCCTGGCTAGCTTATGCCCTGAAATAACAACACATAAATTTTATTAATTTAAACACTGCTTGGCCCATTAGTTCTAGTCTCTTACTGGCTAACTCTCATATCTTGCTTTAACCCATATCTAATAATCTGTATAGCACCACGAGGTGGTGGCTTACCAGGAAGATTCTAGTGTATGTCCATCTTGGGCTGGAGCTTCATCGCATCTGGCTCCATGGCATCTGATCTCACTTCCCTTCTTCCCAGCATTCTGTTCTGTCTACTCCACCTACCTAACGGCCGGCCTATCAAATGGGCCAAGACAGTTTCTTTATTAACCAATGAAATCAACAGACATATGATCTTCCCACATCAGTCTATTCTGGCAGCTGGAGCTTTTTTGAGTGTCAACTGGCAGGTATAATGGCTTAGTCAGAGGCTAAGTGGCCTGGGTGGGTCCCCTCAAGGAAAACAGGAGTGCTCTGGTATTTCTCTCGGGCCCCCATGCTTCACCAGGAAGTGTAGTTGTTATGGCGATGGCGGAAGACTTCTGCTGTCAAACTTTCAGTGGCTGCAGATGCCCTTTCAGATTTGCATTATCTGCAGCGTTTCCTCCTGGGGCGATTCCTTGTTTAGCTACCTGGCTGCTCTGTGTGCTCTATGAGGAGAATCCAAACTGGGCCAGGAAATACTAAGATTAGCATGAAAGAAGTCAGTTTGCAAGGAAGACCGAGACTTCAAACTCTAAAAGGGAGGAGCAGGCTCACACTGTAATGGGCCGCACACTGTGTGTGGTCTAATGCTTTGGGGTTTTCCTCAACCACTAGCTCATCATCTACCACAACCACTAGCCGTCATCTTACCATTCTTGAAGTGATTTTTCTTTCTCCAAAAGCTGCCTCTAGCTGGGCATAGGGGCAAGTGCCGTTGATCTCAGCAGTCCCAATCTACAATGCCATCCTTGGCTATATAGCAAGGGTGAGGCCACTTTGGGGTGTCTCAAATGACAAGAGTGACAGCAGGGCATGATGATTGGCCTCGAACTCACAGAGCTCCACCCACCTATGTAAGTCTGCCGAACTGCCGAACGTCCACTGGATTAGTTGAGCAGAATCTACTATTAGGTAGATCTTGTCTTAGAACTAGGAGTTTTATTATTCCATTGCCACCTGTCATTAGCTTCAGTTGACTAAGGATTCCAGAAGATCTATGCCAGGTCAATGTTCTATTAATGTGAAGAGATGACGTGCGCATGGAAACTTTTATAAAGGAAGGCATTTAATTGGGGCTGGCTTACAGTTTCACAGGGATTAGACATGGTGACATGGTGCTGGAGAAGGAGCTGAGAGTTCTACATTCAGATTCGCAGGCAGCAGGAAGAGAGAACCACTGGGCCTGGCTTGGGCTTTTAAATCTCAAAGCCCACCCCCAGTGACACACTTCTCCCAACAAGGCCACACCTCCTAATCCTTTCAGATAGTGGCACTCTCTAGGAGTTTAAATATATGAGCCTAAGGATGCCACTCTTAAACTACTACACTAGGGTGATTTCCTGTAAAAAGATTTACTTTTTTGTTCTATTAATCAATCAATTAATGTGGGCTGAGGTTATAGTTTAGTGGTAGAGCCCTTGCCTAGTATATACAGAGCTCTAGGTTTGATCACCCAAATCCCCAACACACACACACACACACACACACACACACACACACACGCACACACACACGCACACGCACATACGCACACACACAGAGATGGAGACTGTAAGTCATCGGAATCAATGTATGACCGCAATTGAGAACAAAATATTTTATTTCTTTCAATAAAACTATAGTTTACAATAGTATTTACTAAATAAATTATATAATTTCTCTTTTACAAGCAATAAACTAAATCACAAATATTTCAAAGACAATGTATATACATGACATAAGGCCTTTTATAAATAGCTTTGCTTTTCTCATTTCACTAGTAAACAGTGAAAAAAAATCTTTATAGAAGCTAGCTTTCTATAAAGTAAAGACAGACCTATTATACTGATCTTTAAAGGAAACAGACTGAACCTTTCAATGACATGGGCTATGATTAGAATTTTCTCAAACAAAGAGAGAGGATTTATATCTTAATTATCATTTTGCATGGGTGGATTTTTTAAAAAAAAACACGGAAGCAGATTCCACATGTTGCTTATGTGTCATCATTATGTGCATGCAGAATGGAACAAAGCGAGAGCCGCTAGGAAAATAGCACTTCCCCGTCCAGAGAGGTGATTGGCAATGGTATAGAAAAGCAGCTTAAGTATAGTTCATGCAGTTCTTCACAGTCAGCAAGCAGCAGCAGCCACGGAACAGTGTGGGGTTCTCATATCCACCTGCGATCAGCCACGGACCAAGGCTCCCTCGGCATCTCATGAGCTCCAAGGTCCAGATGAGTCTTACTGTGGGTGCTGGGGCTCAGTTCAGTTCCTCAGGAGAATTCTGTAGTGGGGAAGATTCTCCCCCACAGCTGTGATCAGGTCCCATCCATGTGCTTAGGTGGTTACGACTTTCACTTACTGGAGGAAGAATAGAAGGAAAGAAGCAGATGTGAGATTCTTTTAACATCAGTTTGTAACCCCTGCCTCTAAGTGGTACCTTACATTGTTATTTCTCCGGGTAACTTGCACTTGGAAAAGCATGCATTCGGTTTGGGATTTTCTTAGGATATCGTATGCTTCTTTGGGAGCCTGTGACATGTTAATTATCCAAAGTTCATGAAGATCAAGCCCCAGTTACATCACAGCACTGATGCTGGGGCCTTAGAATGAAGTAATATTAAGACCCACTTGGCCTTCTCAGGGCACAGGGAGGATATGTGAGACCTAAAGCCAGACAGTACAACAACTTGAATGCAGTCCTGTACTCATGAATGCTATGCACATTTCCAATCAATATCCTCATGGCCAGCAGTACAACAAGCCATCGGATGTCTAGCCTGAAATGCTGTTTAAAAGCAGAGCCAGGCAAGAATTCAAGGTCACCCTCAGCTATCTAGTGAATTTGAGGCCAGCCTGAGCTACATGAAAGGCTGACCGAAAGCAAAGCAAGACAATGGACAAAGTGAGCAAAGGAAGCAGAGGCAGCCGTGCCGTCCGTGAAGGGTGTAACGGCACATGTGGGGATTCCATTTCAATAGTTATTTAGGTCATATAGCATATGTACGTCTGCCAGCCTTTACGTCCTGTTTCTTCTATAGAATAGGAATAACAGCCGATGACCATACCACCCTGAAGACACCTAAGACTGTCTGACCTTGGAAGCTAAGCAGAGTCAAGCCCAGTTAGTACTTGGATGAGAGGAGAGGAAAAACTAACCCCTGGAGCCTCCTCCCTCCTTCCTTTTTTCCCTAAGACAGGGTTTCTCTGTAGCTTTTTTTTTTTTTTTTTTTTTTTGGTTTTTCGAGACAGGGTTTCTCTGTCTCTGTAGCTTTGGAGCCTGTCCTGGCACTCTTGTAGACCAGGCTGGCCTAAAACTCACAGAGATCCACCTGCCTCTGCCTCCTGAGTGTTGGGATTAAAGGCGTGAGCCACCACCGCCCGGCTCCCTCCTTCCTTTTTAGTGATGGAGGTTTTACTGTGCTATCAGGTTGGCAGTGAAATCCAGGCTCAAGTGAGCCTCCTGCCTCAGTCTCCTCTCTCTCTCTCTCTCTCTCTCTCTCTCTCTCTCTCTCTCTCTCTCTCTCTCTCTCTCTCACACACACACACACACACACACACACACACTATCCTGTCTGTCACTGTTGCACACTACTGTGGGAACTATTTTACTACTTCCCCATATCTTTGCTTTTAGACTTGGAAGTGACATTTTCTTCCCTATGGGCTCTTGCATTACTCCATTTTGCAAGCTCATATGCTGATTATAGAAGCAACACATGTTATATGTGTACACATAAAGAAACAAAATTAGGACTGGGGATGTAACTTTGCGATCAAAGTATATGCTTAACATTTGTGAGGCCTTGAGTTTGAGCCTCAGAATCAAAACAAAGCATACAGTGGAGAGGGTAGAGCTGAGGTCATAGCCATGGTACTATCCAATACCTTCAAAGGAAACAAACAAAACAAAACAAAATAAAACAAAAACCCAACTTGGAATAAAGAGTTTGAAATGTAACTTTTGGGGAGGGAAAAGTATGTCAAGGGAAATACCATCTGGCAATAAATAATCAACATTCATCACATAGTCTGTCCCTATTGAAGTTTTATACATTTACTTCTTTTCTTTTTCTGGGACTGGGACTCGAACCCAAGGACTCAAGCATGTTAAGCAAGAGCTCTAACACTGAGCTGTTTGTAGCCCTCAATGTTTGGCTTTATAGTCCATTCCTCCTCCTTCCTTTTCTTCTTTCTTTCTTTCTTTCTTTCTTTCTTTCTTTCTTTCTTTCTTTCTTTCTGTTTCTTGAGACAGAGTTTCTCTGTATAACAGCTCTAGCTGTTCTGGAATTCGCTTTGTAGACCAGGCTGGCCTTGAACTCACTATCTCTGCCTCTTCAGTGCTAACCATCTCCCAGTCATTTTTTCCTCTTATGAGTCTAAACTAGACTGGGTCTTGATGAGTGAATGAAAGCTGCTGAGAAACATTGGATTGCAAAAGGGACTGCTGAATTAAACGAGCCTAGACACTTTAGGGATGCCTTAACTTTAAAATGGAATTCAGAAAATGTATTGTGTTGGGGGAGAGGTTATGCTTTTGTTTCCACAAGAAATGAAAGGCTATAGACTCCTTCAAGGTTAATAGAGATCAGGTTTGATGTGGGGGGCAAGGAGACATTCTGAAAATCTTGACTACAGACATAAAGAAATAAATCAAGAGAACCTACAAGACAGGTGACATATATACTGATCCCTATTTATGGGAACATCTCGGAGACTGACAACAATGGTACAATTAGTTTTCCCAGGACTTGAACAACGTCTCAATTTAGCAGAGGGCCTACTAAAGATGCTGCCGCCCCCAGACAACAGGAAGCAGTTGAGAGAACACAATGCCCACATTCCCAAGAGGTGGGGTGGGTGGTTTTTTGGTCATTTGGTGGGTTACAGATTTTTGTCATCATTTAGATAGGATATAGGAATGTAGGATAAAAAGAGTCTCTGTGACTCAGGGTGGACTCTGGATATCCAGTTTTGGCGAGGGTTCAATGATCATGGTGTATTAGAAACCAGAGGCCGCTGGGCAGTGGTGGTACATGCCTTTAACCCAGCACTTGGGAAGCAGAGATAGGTGGATCTTTGTGAGTTAGAGGCCAGCAGTCTACAGAGCAAGTTCCAGGACAGGCTCCAAAGCTACAGAGAAATCCTGTCTAGAAAAAGCAAGCAAGCAAGCAAGCAAGCAAAGCAAAAGATGACTGAAGTGTGTTAGAGAGGCAGGAACGATGGAGAAGTGAAGAGGTTTTGCTGTTGTTGTTGGTTTTTTATTTTGTTTTATTTTAAAAGTTTTTCTTTTGGGGGGATGTTGCAAGGGTGAAGGATAGATATGGGGGCACTGAGAGATAAGCAGAATTGGGATGCATGATGTAAAATTCTCAAAGAATCTATAAAGGAATTATGTTAAAATTTACACTTGGTACATTTTTTAAAAATATTTATTTATTTATTATGTATACAATATTCTGTGTCTATGCCTGCAGGCCAGAAGAGGGCACCAGACCCCATTACAGATGGTTGCGAGCCACCATGTGGTTGCTGGGAATTGAACTCAGGACCTTGGTAGAGCAGGCAATGCTCTTAATCTCTGAGCCATCTCTCCAGCCCCCATTTTATTTTACTTGTATACTTTTGTCACTAGATGTTATTTCATGAGGCATGATCACCTGGGCTGAAGTATAGTTGGGTTTCTCTTTGTGTTGGGTTTTAACAGTAGCAGGAGCCCAAAGGCTCACCATTTTTCTAGGCATAATAAATACATACATTAGTGCTGTAGAAATCAGGACACAACAGGGCAATGGAATAGAATCTCACATGTATAAAACTTCACAGCTGGAAGAACTATGGTATGTATGTATGTATGTATGTATGAGTGTATGTATGAATGTACAGATGTATGTATATTTTGAGACAGGCTCTCACTATGTAGACCAAGCTAATCTCCAGCTCACAGAGCTCTGCCTGTCTCTGCCTCCTCTGTGCTCTAGCTGGTGGTTCTGTTGGGGCAGTGCAACCCTGAGGTCTAGCAGGAGGAAGCTGTAAATGAGACAAACTGTACCAGCAAAGACTCAATAGAACTGTTAGAGACGTGGAGAGGTAGGAAGGATGCAAGTCCAGAGACTAATTACAGCTCATCTCAGAGTATCTTTAGTCTACATAGCCATTCCTTATATAATTCCCTCTTAAACTAACATCCTGGTACTACCAGATAACCTGCTGGCATGTAGTGGCAGACCAAGAGCTTCCACCAAACCCCAAAGCTAAGATTGTCATCAAACAGCATCAGATGCAGATAGAGAGATTTCTCTGTTTGGCTGTGACTCACCTCTCTGATGTTACTTCAATGCATTTTAAAAGTGTCTTGATTCATAACATTTTTCTGTTACTATAGAAACCTCAGGGAATTGCGTCCACATTCAAACATGGAATTTGGGGTCTCTTGCTCTCCCATATTTGACTCTAGAATAAACTATCTTTTATTCTCTTTGAGGTAACAGTTGTCTTTGAGTTGATAACATCATGGGGCCTTGAAAAGGATATGGGGACCCTGAGCCATGAGGTGAGGGACCCTGACACATACATTCTTATGATGGACTGTTACACAGGGACCCAATGCAACCAAGTCAAGCAACTATGGGCTGAAAACAATGCCCCAAATAAGCTCCCCTTTCTTTAACTATTAGGATTCATGCCCAGAAGGGCAGTTGTTCTTCTCCAAGGACCAGGGCCTGCAGACCTCATCTGAGAAGCACCGGTGCAGAAGGTGGGGATATTGCCGCTGTTCTGCAAGGATGTGCACATTTTGGATGAAGACATCCATTTGGGTCTAATCTGGTAGAATGTCACTGATGGAATTCCCGAGGGTTAGTCAAAACTTGTGGCTTGTCAGGCTTCCTGCCAACCTCCAGTGCTCCATCAAAGAGCCCTGTTCCTGCAGCAGGTAGACGGCAGAGAAGCTGCCATCATGTCCCACATCTCAGAAGACAGACTGAGATCAAGGTCTCTCATTTCAAAACTGTTAGTTCAGCAGCAATATTTTAACACCGATTGCTGCTTCATTAATTCGTTTCCAAAGGGCGGAGAGATGCTGTGGGGCATCAATGGTTTAAGCATCCTGATAATCCTACAGGGGACTTCTGGTGCCAGAGTGAGTCCTACTGTCATTTCAGCAGCCTGTAAACCAGGGTCGTTTAGAGACAGTAAGAAGAGCCTTTAGCACTGGGTGTTTGTTGATACTTTGTTACAGTTGATGTCTGCGCTGCAGAAGCAGCATTTTCCATGCTGAATTAAAGCGCCAAGGGGTGGCTTTCAAAGAGACTCAAGGGGAACTGGCCTTGATGGATGAGAAGGGCACGCTTGGATGGGGT